CACAGAGTATACTTTAAAAACACATTTAAAGACGTCATGCTTTATGAATAGACATTTCATGGGCTTAAAAAATGTCATAATTACTACCTTCTCAAAATTGTAAAAGACTTCATTTGCTACAAAATGAGTACAAGAAAGGATGGTATTATGCACGTTTTCCATAAAATATAGTAAAATTTTTGAAGACACTGAAAACTTATGGCAAAAATGCTAAATCTAATAAATTATTTTTACCTACTCTAAGTTTTGAAGGCTGCTGGAATGAAGGTTGTTCCAAAAGCAAAGATCCTGATGTGACTGAAATATCTTGTGATTTTGATGTATGATGTTTAGTGCTATAATACTACTTAAGTATTTTATTTCAGAATGGAAGCACATCGCAGAATGTCGGTTAACATTTCATGAAATAATTCGTCTATTGTATTTTTGGTCTGTGCTCGGTGCATAACCGACCGACGCAGGGTATAAATGTCAGTTAAGCAGTCCAATCGTCCCATCTTTACTGGTAAGAATCTTCGGGCAACTGAATTATCAATGGTCAGTGCTCCTCATACAAAGCAAAGTTTCCCAGGTGCAAATTTGTAGATTGCAAAAACAGCAAGATTTACTTGATCCATGAAATTTCGGGAAAGCTCATCAGTTGCGTCCATTCAATTGCGTGGTGAGCGTAACAAATGAGAAGAATACAAAAATCTCACCATGCAATGGACTGGATGCAGCTGATGAGCTTTCCCAAAATTTCATGGATCCAATAAATCTTTCTCTTTTTGCAATTTACAAAGATTCTCATATGAGTCAAAGTGGAGACTTTAAATTGTTTATATAAGCATGGGGAAGTAGACCCATACTGAACCCAAGCCCATTTAATGTAACTGACTTTGAGACTCAGTACGACCGAAATGCCCAGTTCCATAATTTTTTTCGGTTACAACCATCACTACAATGCAAAAACCGCAATACTGTCTTGAACCAGACGTTTATAGGCATACTAGGCAGTGGATTAAACCCTGTTGGTTTAGATTAGAAACATTACTGAAGGAGGTACAGCAAATGACATAACCCATACGATGTCGTGATCAAAATATGAGTGAGTAGTAGCAGTGTCTTCATGAAGGTCCCTCCTATTCGCCATCGCTCATGGCTGTCGCAGGCCGAGATGTGGTCAGCAGTTAAATAATATTTGAAAAAGTAAAAGGAGGTATAACAACTTCCAAATGCAAAGGCATGGACAAAAAGACGTTAAGGGACTGCCATTTGTCACCGAGCAGTCGAAATGTATCACTGAATGTAGTGGCCTTTGAAGGATAGCTGACGTATTTCTTCAATAAGCTTTGAAGCCTTGTGTAGATCAGTTAAGTCATTTCTCCAACTTGAAATGATCAATTTTGGTTCGTCTTTTGTCTTCATCCAACTGCGCTTCGAGCAAAGGCCTTCTGTCTTTAGACATTCGTACCAAACTGTCTGGCAGCACGCTGTAGGTTTGATTGCGATATTCTTTGCAAAATCCGTCAGTCATCAACATAATTTGGACTTTATAACCCGCAAATGAAAAGGCAACTTCGTCTTCTCTCCCCTTTACCACAATAGCTGCTGCCGTGCCTTCATGTTGCATGCGGAAAATGCACAACCACGGCAGTTGAGACCCACTCCAACGACCTCATCTGTTCCAAATGCGTTCTCTCAACTAAGCAAGTGCTCCTGGAGGTGAATTTTCAAATTGACTCCCCGCTAAAAGCCTTGTCTTGTGATGTCGATGCATGCTTCAGCGAACAGGCTCCACAGGACGCTGAACTCTTGGGTCTCACATGCTTCTCGCCCTCTACCGTGATTCCCAGTCATTTCGGAAAGGGTCTTGATTTGTTCGAGAAGTGCGTTCTCTCTGGAACGGACCAGACCTGCGACTACTGTGCATTTGAACAGAAACATATGACGGCTATAAGCAGGTACACTTGGCTTGGGATATTAGTTATGAAATTTAACATTTCAAAGCAATTCCGAAAGACGTAGGCAAAGTAGGGCATTTCTAATAGAGGAGAATATCTGAGTTCAA